ATTAAGGTCTGACGTGGAATGGTTGTTCCTTCGCTCCCCCCCCCCCCAAATGGGACGCGGCCAAGAGAATGGCGGCTGCCCACTTCGGGTGCCATCTTCCCCACTTCCTCCCCTGGGAGCAACCCTAACGTGTGTGTGTGTGTGTGTGTGTGCGCGTGGGTTGCCGTGGGTGGGCTGGCCCCGAGCCAAGAGAAGCACGCGGCTGTCGGGCTTCCTCCCCGTGGGCCCGTTCTTTGCACTTTTCTGGCACACGTTTGATCTGACAGCCCGAATTACCGTGTGCATGCGTGCGTGCGTGCGTGTGTGTGTGTGTGTGACCTTGCACTTGAGAGAGATTTGTTCCCACCTGAAAATGAGGGATCGGCTGGAACAAGATAATGTCTTCATCACGTTGGCTCCCTTTGGATTAGATGAACATAGTTGGAAGGGACCTTGTAGGTCATCTAGACCAATCCCCCCGCCCAAGCAAGGAGGCTCTACACCAGGGGTCTCCAACCGTGGCCACTTGAAGACTTCAATTCCCACAATTCAACACTGGGAGTTGAAGTCGACAAGTCTTAAAGTAGCCAAGATTGGAGACCCCTGCCCTACCTCATTTCTGACAGGTGGCAGACCAGCCTCTTCTTGAAAGCCTCCAGGGATGAAGCTCCCACAACTTCTAAAGGCAACTTCTGTTCCATGGGTTGATGGTTCTCCCTGTCAGGAAATTCCTCCTATTTCAAGGTTGAATTTCTCCTTGGTCAGTTTCCATCCATTGTTCCTTATCCATCAGGTGCTTTGGAAAACAGGTGACCCCTTCCTCCTCTCTGTGGCAGCCCCTCAAATACTGGAAGGCTGCTCTCCTGTCCCCCCTGGTCCTTCTCTTCCCTAGACTAGCCAGGCCCAGTTCCTGCAACCGTTCTTCCTATGTTTTAGCCTCCAGTCCCCTCATCATCCTGGTTGCTCTTCTCTGCACTTTTTCTAGAGTCTCAATATGCTTTTTACAGTGTGGTGACCAAAACTGGATGCAGGACTCTAGGTGTGGCCTTACTAAGGCTTTATAGAGTGGTATTAGCTCCTCATGGGATCTTCACCAGGTAGAAGAGGGGTAAAGCAGGAGACAGGAGAGACAGGAGAAGCAAAGGAAAGCAAGGATCTGAAGAACATCTGCTGAAGTTTCCAACAAGGGTCCTGCTGGGTTGAGGAACCATTTCAAACACTGTTGAAGCAGTTATGGAAAATGCACTTCTAGATCAACCATGAATATGAATGGGGTGGCCCGGAACATTTGAAGGAAGCTTCAAAGAAGAAGTATCAAAGGAACCTTCAGCAGCTATTCTTTAACCCTTTGTTTTCCTTCCGTTCCGAGCCTTCTGCTGTTCTCCTCCCCTTCATCCTGTCAAAGCCAACATGGTCAAGACATTTTCTTGGACCTTGAGATCTTCTGCAGATGTTCTCCAGGAGCAACCTTCCGTTTTCTAGGCCCACCTTCGAGTCCCAAGCTAGTGACACTTCCATCACTAACCACGTCTCACTTCTCTTCTGCAGGTTCAACTCCTGATTTTAACCCTTAAATTACAGTCTTCCATTTTATAAGGGGAATTCAACCGGAAGGACAATAAGAAGAGAACCCTCTCCCCACTATGAGACTGTCTGGTGTCCCTCCATCTTCCAGCTGACTAATTTGAGGATCTAACCTCACTGCCACTCTCTATTTCTTAGCATTAGCACGAAAAATATCCCCCTTTTTAGGAGAACAGCTAATCTTCTATTTCACCCTTGAGGTTCCAGTTGCCAAATAGGAGTGACGGCAGCGGGAGAAATGTTAAAATGCACCAAAGAGAGAGAAAGGCGGTTGTTCTTTGACTGCACATAGCAATGGTGACCCCCTCGGATATAATCAAGAGTTTCTCTCTGCCCTTGGGTTGCTCCAACGTTGGCTTGGAATTGCAAATAAGAAACGCTGGGTTGAATTTTGCAGAGGTCAGCCTGGTGTCCTTCTCTTAACACGATCATGGAGATTTAAACGGCGCTCCCTTCCTATCCTTGTCTCCATTTGTGGGATGAGATGTTAAGAAGCATCCGCAGCTTCGTTCCAGCTCTCCGCAGTGGGTGGCTACCAGAGCGCGGTGCCGTTTCTTGGCTTTTGAAGGGAAAAGAAAATGACCTCGGCGGGCCCTGTGCCAGCATTGCCTCCGTTGAACCCTCAGCTCCATAGAATGGACCGGGTCAGCGGCAAGAACCGGGGGTGGGCTGCGGCTGGTTCGCCCCGATTCGGGTGAACCCGTCGCTCATTTTATCCTTTTTATGGCCAGTTTAGTGAACCGGCAAATCCCACCCCCGGCAGGCCCCACCCAGCCCTCCCCCCCAGGAGTCTCCACACGGCCCGTTTTGGATCCCAGGGAAGTACGGGGTCCATGCGAGGCTCAGGGAGGGTGAAAAATGGGCCCCCCGGAGGACCATTTCCAGCTTCCAGAGAGACTCCGGAGCCTAGAGAGGCTGTTTTCGCCCTCCCGGAGGCTCAAGGAAAGCCTCCGGAGCCCGGGAAGGGGAAAAAACGGGCCTCCTGGAGGCTCCAGAAAGCCAGAAACACACCGTTTCCATCCTCCAGACAGCCTCCAGAGCCCAGGGAGACCATTTTCACCCTCCCAGAGGCTCAAGGAAAGCCTCCGGAGCTCGGGGAGAGCGAAAACACACACACACACACCCCGCCACGGTGCAGGAGGCCGACTAGGCCACTCCCACCATGGCCACGCCCCCCCCAGCAACCAGACAGAGAACCGGTTGCTGACATTTTTGAAGGCCACCCCTTTAGCCAGAACAGGACAGTACGAGCCCTCCCCCCTGCCTTGCGGACGGTTGCGCTGTGCAGCCACCTGCAAACAAGCTTTTGACCTACTGGCCATGTTCAACGGTGGGCCTTGGAGGCCTCTCCAAAGGGGCTCCAGCACTGGCGTGGTCCTCCTTTGTCAAGTTATTATTTATTTATTTTGTTCTAACCAGATAGAGCCTCCAACTTTGACACCAAGTAGTCTCCTCGTTGTCTGGTTAGTTAGCTGTGCTCTACAGAGACAAAGTCTCCTGTTTATATGAAGTGTCTTTCTGGGTGGGGCATCCTCTTTCCTTTTCAAATATTTACAGGTTCTTCATTTTCTGTGGATGATGATGATGATTATTATTATTATTTTGTGGAGAACTTTGGCTCAATGGTCTGGGTCTGAAAAGGTCTCTTTGCTTTTTTTTCCCCGTCTGGAATGAGGTCCATCCCAGCTTCGTCATGTTGCACCAGAGAGTTTAGGTCATCCTGCGCCCCCAAGAATGCTTTCTAATTGGCTATCAGCTTACCAGTCTCATTAGAGAATTTAAGCCAGAGGAGAACTTGAGGGGCAGGTCAGAGGTCGCCCATCAAAGCCGCCGGCCCTGAGGTCCCACGTCTCTATATTTACCAGGCATTAGTGCTTCGACATTGGTCACAAAGGAGTTTAAAGTTGAAGCTTCCTGCACAGCTGGCTTTGTTGCACGGCGGATAGACGGAAGCCTTTTCATTATTTCTAATCGTCGAGGACATCGCTTGGCGGCCATGTCTGTCCTCAACCTGACTGAATCTCGCCTGGTTCATTACACAATGTCCCCTCACTTATTCCCTCACTCCTGTGCACAAGCCACTGCCTCTCGTAGACTCACCGGGCTTTTAACCCACCGGTTAATTACCTGTGAACAGAGCTGGAAATAGTAGAAGCCGCAATGAGCATCTATCCCGAGTAGAGCCCTCGCCCTCAGAATCAAGGGTGGTGTAATTCTATTTATTCTCCCGTGCAGGACATCAGTGAAAATGGCTGTTCCACCATGCCGGAAGAGTCCACCTCGAGGACAGCGCCCTCTCCCTTGGCTGAAAAGAGGGACCCAAAACTCCGAGATGAGCGGCGGCCCATCACCGTTCACTTTGGCCAGGTAAGCTCTGGAGGTGACTGGAATCTTCCTCTTAAGAGTAAGACTGTCAATGGAGGTCAGTTGGGATGGTGGGTCTCCATTGCACCTTCCAGGACCTCATTATCTATAGCCATAGCCCTTAGACTTACAACCCACTTCACAGTGCTTTACAGCCCTCTCTAAGCGGTTGACAGAGTTGGCCTATTGTTCCCCCACTCCCCCCACAAACAATCTGGGTCCTCATTTGACTGACCTCGGAAGGACAGAAGGCTGAGTCAACCTTGAGCCGGTCAGAATCGAACTCCTGGAGTGGATTAGCCTACAGTACTTCATTTTAACCACTGAGCTACCATGGCTCTGCTCTGGAAAGCTCTCCCGTTTTGTACTGCCGAATTTAGAAGGCAACCATAACCCCATTTTGGTTGGTGGTTGGTAATTTTGGTAGAGAGTAACTCAGAAGAACAGGCCAAGGCCATCCTCCATTCACCCTTCACTCCCAAAATTGAGCGAACAATGATCCCCCAAATTTTGGTCCTACCACTTCTGGGACTTCACTGGAAGGCCCTTCGCAGTCATCAGAACCTGGTTCCCTTATTTCTCTACCCCCCAAGAGCCCATTCTTAAAAGGAAGTCACCGTGGCCAATGTGTCTCTCAACCTTGATTGACTTTCAGATGTGTGGACTTCAACTCCAGAATTTCCCAGCCAGCATGAGTTGAAAGCCCACACATCTTAAAGCCTCCAAGGTTGACAATGAGAAACACGGGTCTGGGGTACACCTCATGGTCCTCTGGATGCTGAGGGAAGAATTCATGAAAGATCAATCACTCATAGTCAGAACCTTCCCAAACCATCAGGAAGAAAAACGTCAGCAATGGACAGCGCCTGTCAATGCCCTTGGGTGGCACATGGTCCGATCAGAAGTGTGATGACCCGGGGCGTGGCACAAAGGCAACACAGTCAGAATAAGTCTGGATCCCTTGATTGGCTCTGACTTTGCCCCCGGTGTTCCCGTTACTTTCCGGTCTGGAGAAAAACTCTCCCAGGAACCTGCAACAGCCTTTGACTGCAGATATTCCAGTTCAAACCTTGTAAACTGAAAACTTTAAACTATAAATCCAGCAAGGCAAGATTAGGTAATAAATCCAGCAGAGCAAGATAAGGAGTCCCAGAAGTGAAGTAACACGGCAGTAAATCAAACCGGTTGGGAGGATGCCAGGAACTCAGCTAACTGCAGCCAACACAAGATAAAACTCAATATTTGTTTCTGACAACCATCCCTCCCATCTGCCTCTCCTTTAAACACCATCCCCAGGTGTGCCTAATGAAGGGAATCAGGGCCCTTTCCTCCCCCGTAAGCCAGGCAACCCACGTTGCTCCTTTCTCCGTTCCTCCCTGCTTGCCCTAGGAGGAAGAGGGGATGGGCCTGGGTTTTTCTCTGAACTTCCTCTCCCTTGTTCTACTTCTTCCCTGCTCTGCCCAGCTGGACTTTGCCCTTCCCCAGTTTCCTCCACAGCCAACGGAGCCACTGTCCCGCTACCTGTCGGCTGTTCCTCTTCCTCCTCAGATTCAGCCGCCGCCGGTGGGGGCGGGAGGCATGACAAGAAGTTTCAGCAGGTGCCAGTCTGAAGTTTGGGGGTATATCTAGCCCCCGAGATACGTCCAAGAGTCTTCTTGCCCCCATCTCCCCGCCTGCCAAAGAAAACACCTCCCGCCCCTTCCACCCTGGTTTCAGTAGCCTTTCGTTCAGTCCGAGTGTCAGCCGCCGGTATCTTAGGATAATAAGCACCGCAACACCCTTTGAACAGGAAAAAGCAATGAACGCGGCTTGGAAAATCAATTAATGGCTCCTTAATAGCAGGCGTCATATTTCGGTATTGACTCTCCCGGGTGACAAGCTGGTTGTTTTTTTTACGACGCTCTCTGGTTTGTGAAAACCTGCCAGGATGAAGTGACTTATAATTGCAAACCTGAATTTAACTTTGCGAGCTTTTCCTTTCTTTTTTTCTTTTTCTTTTGGGTAATCCCAGGCAGGGATCGAGGGGGCGGGAGAGGGATATGTCATTGGTAGGTCTGCCCACCCCAAACGCAGCCTTCGGTGGGTGACTCTTGAATCGGTGGAGTGGCAAGGGGGAAAGGGAGGAGGGGATTGAAAGAGTTGCTTGCTTAGAGAGGACATAGACATTGATGCAAGATCCAGGGTGATAGTGGCAGACAGGCTTGGTAATCTTTTAAAATAAAATAAAAACATTGCATTTTGAAAGAGTTCCTTGCGGAACCGCATTTTTTGTGTGTGTGAATCCGCCTGCAGGTTATACATTCAAAGAACGGCTGCAGGAATTGAGTTTAATTTAATGAAAGGAAGCACTAGGAGTGACGTAATAGCGGTGTTTTAATATTTGAGGGGCTGCCACAAAGGAGAGGGGGGTCAGGCTATTCTCCAAAGCATATAAGGGCAGAACAAGAAGCAATTGGGTGGGGGAAACTAAGCAAGGAGAGAAACAATGTGGAACGATGGAGAAATTCCTTAACAGTGAGAAACAATTCACAAGTGGAAGAATTTGCCTCCAGGAATTGTGGGTGCTGGTTTCAAGAAGAGCTTGGACACCCATTTGTCCAGGATGGTTATAGGGGGTTGGACTAGAAGACCTCTCAGGTCCCTTCCAACTCTGTTATTCCGATGACGCTTTCCTCAAGTTTATCTCAGCAAACCTATCCCAGGCAATGTTTTGCTGAGATGAACGTGTCTTTCTCCATCCCATCCTTCAGTCCTTCACCCGGTGTGGCTTTTGGCCCAGACAGAGGCCTGGCCAGACACTTCAAGACATGAATTTATTTACTCCATTCCTGGAGCTGCCCCACTCCACCAAGGGACAGTTGGGCGGATTACAATTGCCAACCCTGGTTTTAGTCTTTATTGGGTGACTCTGTCTACCTGGGGAGGAGGACCCGTCCGCTCAGCTCCACGGTCACCTGCAGCAAAAAAATTTCCTTGGGCAGCTTCTGTGTGGGAGGTGGAATCTCAGGTTGTCCCAGGGAGGGTGGATCCATTTTATTTTTTAAAAAATGGGTGTCAAAGAGAGAAAGGGAAGGAGAGGAGAAAGGGAAGGGAAGGAGGGAGAAGGAAAGGAAAAGAAAGAGGAGAGGAAAGGAAAGGAAAGGAAAAGAAAGGAAAGGAAAGGAAAGGAAAGGAAAGGAAAAGAAAGAGAGAGGAAAGGAAAGGAAAGGAAAGGAAAGGAAAAGAAAGGAAAGGAAAGGAAAGGAAAAGAAAGAGAAAGGAAAGGAAAGGAAAGAGAGAGGAAAGGAAAGGAAAGGAAAGGAAAAGAAAGAGAAAGGAAAGGAAAGGAAAAGAAAGAGAGAGGAAAGGAAAAGAAAGGAAAGGAAAGGAAAAGAAAGAGGAGAGGAAAGGAAAGGAAAGAATCCCCTTTCACCCCCTTCAAATGCCAAATGAAAAGAACATGAAATTACCCTCCTGGGCACAGGCGCTAGAGAGACCCCTTCAAGATCGCAAGATGCAGACGGAGACTCGGAGAAAATGTCTTCCTTTCCCCCCCCAACCCAAACAAGGCCCCCATCCGACGGAGGTCAGTATTCCACTCACCCCTTCCAGTTTTGGCGGTAGCGGCTGCAAGCTCCACAGCCCAACCAGCCCCGGCAGAGCCGGCCTTAATTGAGTTGTGTTGTCAGAGTGACAAACACATTTGCATAGAGTCTATTTATTTTGTGCGCGCCGAAGTCCGCTGTCTGCTGTTGGGGGAACATCCTTAATCAGCCTCCTGTAAGTCAGCCGGCAGCTCCTCGCTCCGGCTGTCGTCTGTCCGAGGCGCTTTTCTTCATTAAGTGACAGATTAACTGAAGGGGACGAGGAGGGGATGTGGCGGGGGGGGGGGGGGGGGGGGCTGGGTTGCCAGAGCCTAACTGCTACATTTAATTTTAACTCATTAGGGCTCACCCAACTGGAGTTGACAGTTGGTCATGGGTGCCTTGTTCTCTTACCGGTCGCCGTCATTAATCTGCTCACAAAGAGGACGGATGGAGCTCAGCCGCCTGCTGGCTGAAGCGACAACAGCGTAAACACCTTTCGGCTGTGCGCGCGGTTGACTTATATATATTTGGGGGGGGGCAGTTTTGCCTCCCCAGCACAACAAGGCGACCTGGTTGGGAGGTCTTTCTCCCGGATTCACCCTGCAAGCTTTGGACCTACCAGGGTGTGTGGGTGTGTCCCTGCAGGTCTTGCCTTCAGGCGGGCTGCCTTGATGGGGCGAGTTGTGGCTTTGTGCCGTAGGGGTAAAAGTGGGGAGAGGCCCTTCGTTGGGGGTCTCGCTGTTCTGCTCAGGAAGGGTTGAATAGAATAGAAAAATAGAAATAGAAATAGGAATAGGAATAGGAATAGGAATAGAATAGAATAGAATAGAATAGAATAGAATAGAATAGAATAGAATAGAATAGAATAGAATAGAATAGAAATATTGGAGTGAAATAGAATAAAATAGAAATATTGGAATGAAATTAGATTAGAATAGAATAGAAATATTAGAATAGAATAGAATAGAATAGAATAGAATAGAATAGAATAGAATAGAATAGAATAGAATAGAATAGAATAGAATAGAATAGAATGTAGGATAATACAGGAATAGAATAGAATAGAATGGAATGGAATGGAATGGAATGGAATGGAATGGAATGGAATGGAATGGAATGGAATGGAATAGAATAGAATAGAAATGAAATATTGGAATGAAATTATATTAGAATAGAATAGAAATATTAGAATGAAAAAGAATAGAATAGAATGTAGGGTAATA